CTGCACTTCGCGACAGCAGAGCACTGTTCAAACTCCCCTTCAGCCCATCAGGCTTCATCTTCGGGAGCAGTCATTGCCACATTTCACCTGTCTTGTCCTTCTGGAGTTCATGACAGTTGCAAAGTATTACTGCAGCAGTAAGACCTTCTTTTGGGTAACAGCTTCCTTTTCTAATGGTTTTGTACAGCATAAGCCCAGATAGAAACAAATCTTCTTGTGGTAGTGAGTGTTTGGAAGACTGTGGAAGTGATGGGTTCAAGAGTCTTAAATTTACACAGCAGTTCTTTTTGGTTTATTTTTTTACTGTATTATTATTATTACTGTATTGGATCATTTGACCTCTACATTTATTTAGAGTTAAAAAGAGCAATTTTGATGGTGATATTTTTATGAAGAGGGGATATATGAAGTAGATTTTCTGTAAGGATGGCTATTTCATTGCTTTTGAATATGTCAGTTGCTGACAGTTGACAGAAAAGGACTGGTTTTAATTTTCTTCCGTTGATAAATTATTATTACTAGTTTGCTTGGGAGGTCACAGTAAATGCACATTCCCAGGAAACACATTAGTAAGGGACTAGCCCTGAGTTCTGTCATGAACATATTACAATACAGATATGCTCTAAAATTACTAGTGACTGAATTATTTGTTCAGCATGGGTTTTTATAGTTTACGGTATGAATTTGTTTTAAAAATAACTCTTACATTAAATAATTATAATGCTGCCTAGTATAGTTTGAGCTGAAAAGAGTAAATTTAATGAAGAGTTATTGATTTGTAATAGTTGAAATAAATGTGTGTTAATTCAATACAAATGAAAGCAGTAAAAATAAAAACCCATTAGTGTCAGTGGTATTAAAAAAATCTTACATTTTGGTAAATATTTTTACCACATTATCACAAAAACTTGTTTCTTGAAATAAGAGATGAATAAAGTTGTTTCCTGTTTTTTAAGCTTAATTAAGGGCACAGCTCCATTGGAAGAAAACAGCACTGATTCAATACTGATTCAATGGATTGCAGAAATACTGATTTATTGGATTTCAGGCCAGTTTATGTCAATTTATCAATGAGCAAACACTTTCTGTGTTTAAATGAGTTTTCCTTCTTCAGTGCTTATTCCTGCGGCCATCCTTATAGAATCACAGAATCATAGAATAGTTGGGGTTGGAAAGGACCTTAAGATCATCAGGTTCCAACCCCCCTGCCATGGGCAGGGACACCTCGCTCTAAACCATATTACCCAATGCCTCGTCCAACCTGGCCTTGAACACTGCCAGGGATGGAGCATTCACAACCTCCCTGGATAACCTATTCCAGTGCCTCACCACTCTAACAGGAAAGAATTTCCTCCTTATATCCAATCTAAACTTCCTCTGTTGAAGTTTTAACCCATTACCCCTTGTCCTACCACTACAGTCCCTAATGAAGAGTCCATCCCCAGCACCCCTATATGCCCCCTTCAAATACTGGAAGGCTGCTATGAGGTCTCCACGCAGCCGTCACTTCTCCAGGCTGAACAGCCCCAACTTTCTCAGCCTGTCTTCATACAGGAGGTGCTCCATTCCCCTGATAATCCTCGTGGCCCTCCTCTGGACTTGTTCCAACAGTTCCATGTCCTTTTTATGTTGAGGACACCAGAACTGCACACAATACTCCAAGTGAGGTCTCACGAGAGCAAGGGGGCAGGATCACCTCCTTCGACCTGCTGGTCACGCTCCTTTTGATGCAGCCCAGGATACGATTGGTTTTCTGGGCTGCAAGCACACACTGCCGGCTCATGTTCATTTTCTCATCGACCAGCACCCCCAAGTCCTTCTCTGCAGGGCTGCTCTGAATCTCTTCTCTGCCCAACCTGTAGCTGTGCCTGGGATTGCTCCGACCCAGGTGTAGGACCTTGCACTTGGCATGGTTAAACTTCATGAGGTTGGCATCAGCCCACCTCACAAGCGTGTCAAGGTCCCTCTGGATGGCATTCCTTCCCTCCAGCGTATCAACCGAACCACACAGCTTGGTGTCATCGGCAAACTTGCTGAGGGCGCACTCAATCCCACTGTCCATGTCAGCAATGAAGATGTTAAACAAGACCGGTCCCAACACCGATCCCTGAGGGACACCACTCGTTACTGGTCTCCAGCTGGACATTGAGCCATTGACCACAACTCTTTGTGTGCGGCCATCCAGCCAGTTCTTTATCCACCGAGTGGTCCATCCATCAAATTGATGTCTCTCCAATTTAGAGACAAGGATGTCGTGTGGGACAGTGTCGAACGCTTTACACAAGTCCAGGTAGATGACATCAACTGCTCTACCCCTGTCCATCAGTTCTGTAGCCCCATCATAGAAGGCCACCAAATTGGTCAGGCAGGATTTCCCCTTAGTGAAGCCATGCTGGCTGTCACCAAGCACCTTGTTGTTTTTCATGTGCCTTAGCATGCCTTCCAGGAGAATCTGCTCCAAGATTTTGCCAGGCACAGAGGTGAGACTGACTGGTCTGTAATTCCCTGGGTCATCCATTTTCCCCTTCTTGAAAATGGGGGTTATATTTCCCTTTTTCCAGTCATCGGGAACTTCACCTGACTGCCATGATTTTTCAAATATGATGGCCAGTGGCTTAGCAACTTCATTTGCCAGCTCCTTCAGGACCCGCGGATGGATTTCATCAGGACCCATGGACTTGTGCACGTTCAGATTTTTAAGATGGTCTCGAACCAATTCCTCTCCTACAGTGGGCCCAAGGTCTTCATTCTCACAGTCCCTGCGTCTGCCTTCCAAGACTTGGGTGGTGCGGTCAGAGCCTTTGCTAGAGAAGACCGAGGCAAAGAAGTCATTCAGAACCTCAGCCTTCTCCAAATCCTGTGTAGCTAGTTCACCTGAGAGCTTCCTGAGGGGGCCTATGTTCTCCCTAGTCTGTTTTTTATTTGCTATGTACCTGTAGAATCCCTTCCTGTTATCCTTAATATCCCTAGCCAAGTTTAATTCTAACTGGGCCTTAGCTTTCCTAACCTGGTCTCTAGCTTCCCGGACAATAACCCTGTACTCTTCCCAGGCTGCCTGTCCTTGCTTCCACTTTCTATAAAGCTCTTTTTTCATTTGAATTTTCCTCAGGAGCTCCTTATCCATCCAAGGAGGTCTCCTGGCCCTCCTGCTGCACTTCCTTCTAGTTGGGATGCAACACTCCTGAGCTTGTAGCAGGTGATCCTTGAAGACCAACCAAGAGTCTTGAGCCCCCCTGCCCTCTAGGGCTATATCCCATGGAACCTTACTAAGCAGGTTCCTGAACAGGCTGAAGTCTGCTTTTTTGAAGTCTAGGGCAGTGAGCTTGCTTTTGTCCCCTCTTGGCTTTTGCAAACCAAGCCATTTGTTTTGGTTTCAATCTGTGAGGCTTCTCTTTCCCCTTTCATCCTGTGACCTTTTCTGGACATATATCCTAGTTTCAAATGACGCGTTGAACAAGAGCGACTGGAAACCTTAAAGTGTTTTACATGGCACTAATGTTCTCCTAACTGTTGGAAGAGCTTTTTCTGACCCATTCTCGAAAGTAGAGTTGCCTTTTTAATTTTGACATTGTGTCATTACCTCATAATCATTCCATGGGCCAGGTCCTAATCTTTGTTGTTTTGAAACAGATGAACTCCCAACTTATTGCAGTTCCGTGATTATTAACCCAGTACTGCATGTCTGGCCCTTGCATAACTTCCAGACACTGTTTTTAGGGTAGCTATTCTGCGACTTGAGTAAGTGAACTGGAAAAATAGAATATACCAACTCTCAAAGAAGACTTATCTGAAAGATGAATACCATGTCAGTTACCATGCTCCATGTTCCTAGAAATTACCAGAAAACATTATGATGATGATGTCTCACATGCCAGGCAATTAATGCACTACAGTGCTCTGAATATTTTAGAATATTTTCTTTACAAGTAATTTTAATTGTTTTGTTTGCAAATTACCATGGTCTTTTCTGAATACATTGCTTTTCAGAGGTGGGAGCTACTTTCCTAACCTACAAGTTTTGGACAAGCTATACCTGTACCTTGTGTGTATAAAACAATAGCAGAGACCCATATAGAAAACTGATTTATATACAGAGCATCATTAGAGAGAATACGAGACAGAGGGGAGTGGTACAAAGATTTTTACTGGCATCTGCTTGAGACCATGAGTATTACTCACTCTTCATGGTTTATGAGACTATGTGGTTCTCCCATGCTCATGCTGATAAAGCAGTCACCATCCCATAGTATCTGGTAATTACTGTGTCTACACCAGATATTATAAATACAGATGGAGAGGAGAAAAAACAATGCAGTGCTAAAAGATTAAACAATGGCATAATTAATTAGTTGCAATTGATGAATTTGATCATGCCTACAAACACCTTTAATTCCTTAAAAGCTGTTACACAGACAGATGTAAAAGCTCAACCTGTGGAAATGGAGAAAATTCTTGGATTGCCTCACCCTTGCATATATCTTCAAAAGCTATTTCTAATCTTGCACAGGCTGTTAATGTGGAGATAGTAGCAGTTATGAAACCTGGGCTAGATTCCAGATAATGTTGTATCAAAGTGTAGAATGAAAAGGAAATCAATAGTCACTCTTCAAGGAAACTTATGCCAGAATTGTCCAGTATGGTCTAGATTAATCAAAGCCATAACAGCTTTTTTTCATTAGTAGAACATTAACAAGTAAACAACATTCCTGTTTTGTTATTTAGTTATACTAACCTTTTTCAACAGCTAGGCCCAGTGATAAGTTTGGGTTTTCTCTGTTTATAGAAAACTGGTACATCAGCAGATAATAGTACAACTCAATATTTATGGAGTGCTGGCTTTCTGGAAATGGAGGAAACTGGAAGTTATTACTAGAAGAGTTCATTAAAATGTAAACAGGGGTGAAAAAACAACACTGACAATATTTATTTATATATATTTTTTTTTTTTTTTTGTTATTGTCTTGTTATACAACAGTGTCATGACTATGGTTTGAAAGCAGGATTGGGCAGAAGCTTTTCTGTTGACCCCCTGAAAGGAAGTGAGTGGCAGTGGTGTGTAACACCTCTGATGAGCAACCCCTCAGTGTACGGATGTGGTGTGACGCATTGCAGCGCCTGCTTTAGCAGGACCTGTTCTCTGATTTTGGTATACATACGCATTAAAATTAGAACTGTTCTATTCTTGTCGTATTTGTTGAGGTGTTTTAAAGAGGTTAGGACAATGGAGAGGCTGAATGATGTATTTTGGAAATGACAGAGAGTTCCTATCAAGTTCAACACTCTAAAGTTACTTTGGTTTTAGTAAAAAATAGCTGATGTTTTCTGTCTACCAAATGGGTAAGTATATTTTAGATGTTATGTAAGATTAACTATATATATAGTTAAATATATATATATTGCATATATTGGAAGATGACGCACTCCTTGGCCCATAACAGTGTAAAAAATAAAGCAAAACCAAACTAAACCTGTACTGGTTCTCCAGTTTCTTATCTGGATAAGTGAGAGAGATCTTATTCATAAGTAGACAGTGAGCCATATCTATTTTAGCTATTGTTTTTAAAATTAACTCCTGCTTCGAGTTGTGTTGCTCAAGCCTTTGTGAAGAAGGATTTTAATGAGCAGAAGATGACAAAACAGCACAGATAAGCAAGAAGAGGGGAAACAGAGCTGTTCTTAGCATAAGGGGGCAGCAAGGAAGTGACAAGGCAAAGACTGGAAAAGATGTGCTACACATTTGGGTGATTTGGAAGTTTGTGTGTTCTTAAACAAAATTGAAGCATGAAATATGATGTCTGGCATTCTGTATTAAAATACTTTTAAGATACCTCAATATTACATTCTTCCAAATAAACCAAATGCAAAAGTTCCAGCTTGCTCAGTGTTAATGTAGAGCTTCTCTCTGCTTTTATAAGAATTTCCAAAGTCCTGAGGTACTTCTGTCTGTGACAGAGTTTGCCTTACCACAAGTGGCAAAGAGCCCTTATTCCCATCTGCTGAGTGCTTCCTGGGACAGGGAGTTCTTCTCCCAGGATTCTAGAGCTTTCACCAGTTCTTTGATGTTCTTTGTATACAGCTTTCAAAGCAAATACAACAAAAATAATTAAGATTGTGTTAATGTGTAGTACTTGTGCATAATGCTATGCACCACAGGAATCCCTCTTTGGGGCTGTCAGATTGGTCTATTTTTTGCACTGTTATGAGCCAAGGAGTGCGTCATCTTCCAATATAAAGATACAGGTTAATTATGAGATTCATAACGTAACTGTGCAATTATCACAGGATAGGCAATCCTATTGACATTCATAAAAATGAATTACTGAATAACAATGATTTTGAGCTTATTTAGCTTATCATGAAAACTCAACACAAATCTCATGTTTCATAAGTTTGTACTTCCCATGGGTCACCATAGAAGTAATGAGAACATAATGTACTGTAAAAGGCTCAAGTCATTCCTCAGCTGTGGGCTTGGTGCTGAGTATGCTAATAATCTGCTGTTAGACCACTCTATGATGTGTTTCAAGAGAGAATATTAAAACACATAAAGGATAAATAACTAGAAAAATCCCAGCTTTCTACTAGTGGTGTAAAAGAAGTAGGAGATGATTTAAAGCAATACACGAGCTTTATATTTGCTGTATTCTGTAATGCAGCTGACTTGAAGTCTTGAAGACATTAGTATGTTTACTTTGCACATGGAAGCTCTGCAGTGTTAAAGATGTAAAGAACCACACTCTCAGGCAATTGATCCTCTTGAACTACCTGGGCTGCTCATGTGAATACAGCCAAATGTGGTTGGGTCCTCACCATGTTCCTCTGTCCCTTGAAGTGTTTTTCATTATTAGAGAGAAAACTGTACTTTCACACTGAAAGTCATTGACTGATTCAATGTAACTTTTGAGTACTTTTCAGGTAAACTGAAGTATATAAAAAAAACCCCACAAAAATTAAAAATCAAAACAATGCCTGTAAGTCAGCGTGGCTCAGGGTTTAACTACATGAGAAATATTAGGTTGGTTGGTTTTTGTCCACATTATGAACTGAAAAGGTGTGCTGAAAAATGTAAAGAAGATCCTAAAGTTATCCAACGGAAGTATTTTCTGAGTGATATTTCAATGTAAAGTCTCTGAATGCTTTTACTATTATAATTACTTAGATTGAATTACTTTAAAATTGTATCTGGATGAAGAATGAGAGGAATGAATGAAACCACGCTTGCATTTGCCTAACTAGTTTTGTTTTATGTTGTAAAAGAGAACAATGTATTTTTATTCACAGTTGCAAGGGAATAACTGAGCAGTGCTGAAGCGCCTGCTTAACCTAAGGGTGTGCTCATAACTTGAATGGGGCTTATGCCAATATCTTCAGATCTGCTTTAGCATCAAAGCAAACCCTGGTAACTCCAGCACATTCAGACTGATATGAGGGAGGCACAAGAGAATGTTGCCAAGAGAGAAAATCTGAATTCTGGCAATTCTGAATCGTAAATGTAGGTGGAAGATGGTAGATAAGGAGAAGGCGTGGTAGAAATCAAGTGAATCCTCCTACTCCCATAATAAAGTGGAAGAAATCAAGTGTCATGTACTCGGGATGCCTGTGATGCCAAGAAGAATAGGGTGGGGTTAGCTCTTCCTGTTTTTATCTTATTTTTCCTTTTTCAGCTTTCTTGCCTTTGATTTTGGCTGCTTTCTGCAGCTTCCCCACTGCTGATGCCCAAATTCTCCTGGACGTTCCTGTGTCTCATAGCCCAGAAGACCACTGTTTCTGTTCGTCTCTTATTTTTGAATCTGTACAAGAAATTAATTTTTGTCTTGGTCACTGTGCTAAATAAAAATAATTATAACAACAACAATAATTATAATTCCTGCACACCTTTAAATCACAGTTTTTTTTACCAAGCTGAAACCCACATGAATTGTTGCTGTTTGTCAGGTGATGTTCTCCTTTTGTTCTGAACATTTCAGCTTTTTGTATGCTTTAAAGAAGTTGCTCTGGATTACAGATATTTTATTCCCGTTCTGACCAAGATAACTGGAAACAACGTCTTCTTAAGACATCATGTAGCTGCCCTCTTAAGTGTGCACCTCTATGGTGCAGCAGGGGCTCCCTTGGTTGTGCTCAGTCTGTACTTTGGTCAGTGTTCCACTTTGCAGGAATTCTTTAATGCTCTCTATTCAGCAACTTCAACCTTTTCATCCGTCTTGTCAACAACTAGATAATGGAGTAATTTTCTCCTTACCCCTCATCCTTCACACATGCTGGATAAAAGTATTTAATACAGAGTGAAATATCATTAACATGAGAGAGAGCCCCATCCCTCCCTCCCTGTACACCCCTTTGAATGCCCTAGGGAAAGGCACTTCCAGAAATGTTGGTTCAGATGCCATCAGCCAGCTTGCTGACAACCAGGCATTTGGCAATAAGGGGTTGACACTACCGCTTCCTCAGGCAGTTTTGTGAATCTGCTCCCCCTCTGCCCCTGCTAATTCTCTCCAGATGAAACCAGTTGACCACTTAACAGTTTCAGGATGACTAAAGCAGCATTTCCCAGTAAATTCACCCTCCTCCACTCTACTGCTGACACTGCTCCTTTGTGGCATTCTTGTTTCTTTAGCATGTCTCTCCATTCTTTCTTCCTCATCTCTATATTCCCTTTTCCCGGCTACATTCTTCCCCCTTTGTGGGCTCTTTTGAGTTGCCTTTGCAATGTGGTTCTGCTCTTTTCTTTGAAGTTCCCACTTCCATGGTCTAAGTCACTGGGACACAGACCTCTTCAGGGTTGGGTCATAATACCCAAGAGATCTCTGACTGAATGACTTTAGTGATAGGAAACATTTTATGTAGGCCGCTTAGCAATGAAATTCAGCTGGGAAGAGCATATTCCTGTCATGAATGTGCTGTTTATGTTTAGCTGGCATCATATCTGCCTGTCTCTGTGATGATGATGTGGTAATAGTACCCTTGGTGTCTCAGGAGCATTGTACATAGACATGGGTTCTGTGGGGGAGATGCAGCTTGAGATCTAATTCCTTTCACTGTCTTCTCCAGAGTAGTTTGTGGGGAATACTGCCAAACAATTTCCATATATTAAGAACAAACAATAGTGCCACAAGGTCATCTTCCCTTTCAACACTTGGTGTTCAGTTTGCCCAGACCTATCACTGCTTCAAGTGTGTTATACTGAAAAGGGAGTTTTGTGCTGTCAAAGTAACAGATATGAATAAGCTTCCTCAAGGTAACTGATGCTTAGGTTCAGCTTGAGCAAGGAAACAGCCAATGCTGGAGTCTGAGCTTACTCTGGTGTTGAGCTGTTGCAGGCCCTGGGTTATCTATGGTCACGCTGGTGAAAGCAGAGCAGCTTGCAACACTGCACTGAAAGAAGGACGCACATATTGGGCCTAATGTACTTTCAAAAGATGCATTTTGTCTTCTCCCTAATGATTACCTACACACACTGAGAAATGTGCAACTCAGCAGGCACCCTGCATTTCATGTGTTCAGGTGCTGCATGCATGAACAATGAGATACTTAACACCAGTTGGCAACACAAAGTTGGCATAAAATTGATCTGAGGCTTTCCAGCTCTTTTCTGAATTGTCTTTAACATGCCTTCTTTTCAAAAGAAGAATTGTCTTCTTTTAAAATTGGTTCAGATTTGGGCTTTGAAGATCTAGGGTAAAACATGTTTTAAGCTCACAGCTACTATGCGGCTTTGGAAAACAAAACAAAAGCAAAAGATCTGTTTGAAAATGTTCCCATTTAATCTGTGCCAGCAGTAAGTGATCAACATGAAGTTGTACCAAGCGAGAAGAGCAAATATCTTGCTATTGATAGAATCATAGAATCATAGAATAGTTAGGGTTGGAAAGGATCTTAAGATCACCTAGTTCCAATCCCCCCTGCCATGGGCAGGGACACCTCACACTAAACCATATCACCCAAGGTTCTGTCCAACCTGGCCTTGGACACCACCAGGGATGGAAGATTCACAGCATCTTTGGGCAACCCATTCCAGTGTCTCGCCAGCCTTACATTAAAGAACTTCCTCCTTATATCCAATCTAAACTTCCCTGTTGAAATTTTGACTCATTACCCCTTGTCCTGTCACTACAGTCCCTAATGA